GCCCAGCCGGGGGCCGGAGGGAGGCGACGGACCACCGCCTCCCCCTCCACGCACTTCGCAGCCTGGGGGTGCAGGCCAATGGGCGCCGGGGGGAGGGGTTAGGCCCGGGTGAAAGCGGGGGAGCGCGACCCCGCCCCGCCGCCCTGGTCTGGAGTCGAGGTAGGGATCAAGTGATTTGAAGGCTCGTGAGAACTTAGGGGCCAGGAGTTGAAGACCCAGCCCCCCTGGATGGCCAGTCTCCTGGGCTGACTTGATCTCCCCTAGAACTCACCACCCTCCTCCCTACCCGCTCTAAAGCCCTCTTCCTTCTCCCTCCCAGAACTCAAGATTCCTGTCAAAACCAGTTCCTCCTCTTCCTCCAGGAAGCCCTCCTTCCTGGGCAAGTCCTAGGTTTGGGATCTTCACTGCCCTCAGGGCCGGAACTGTGGGAGGGTCAGCTAGGGATGCGGTGCCTGTCTGATGTCCTCAAATATAATCTCTTGGATAATGTCTCTATGGCCAGAAAAGGGGAGGACTTCCAGGACAGAGGCAGTTTAAAATGAGATTCTGGAGCCAGGCTGCTTTGGCTCCAGTCCCCACTGTGCAAACTCTGTGAGCTTGGACAAGTGAGTTGGCCTCTCTGAGTTTCCATTCTTCGCTTGTACATGGGAAATTCTAGTATCTAGCCCTGGGGTCTTGACAGCAGCATTGACTAAGATACACATGTCTCCATAGAAGGTTTTCATCGATTTTATTTGCTGATGAATAAATTACTGTTGCTACTGTTTCTGTGGCCCAGGCCACAGTAACACCACTGTTAACAGTGATCAACCTCTTCCTAGTACAGATGGGTCAAATGGGGCTTAACGAAGGGAACTAAAGAAGTGAGGCAGTCAGTAACTTGCTCCCCAGCCCTCAGGCCACCTCTTTGCCCATCTGCTAACTACTGTCTCCTGCCAAAGCTGTTTCTGCTACACCAGGCTTTGTCACCCCAAGAGCTCTCTCTATACCTCATCCACAGTTCTGCCACTACTCTTTCCCCATTTTCCCCTTCAGGTAAATTCTTGGCCAGCCTTCCTATGGGGCCCAAAGGGACCACCTTGTTAAGCTTCAAGGAGGAGGAAGACCCTTGAGCCTTTCCTGGAGGACTTGTCTTACTGAGAAACTGGAGTTTCCACAATGGAAACTCGAAAGAAGGCATCTGAGGCCCCAGAAAAATGTGAGTAGTTCTGTAGGTCCAGCTCTCTATTTCACAGGGAACTCAGCAGCCCCACCCCCACACCCCCGCACCCCCACACACATACACACACTGGCATACCACAGTTGGTTTGCAGAACTCACATACCTTTGATACCTTTGAGTCCAGGAAAATTTCCTAGGAGGGAAACATCATTCCTTCTCTGTATCAGTGAAGAGTGAGACATCTCTGGAGAGAAGGGCCAGGTGCTATGTATAGTCAGTTAGACAACCAGACAGGACATCTTGCTGAACCTGGCTAGACCCCTCCCTAGTTTGTTGCCAGAACCCCTCCTCTGCCTGCACCCCGGGTATGGTGAAGATCAAATGAGATGCTGTGTGTGAAAGTGCTCTGCAAACTGTGAAACGGCGTGAGAGAAGGGAAAAGCTGCTGAAGTGTCAGCATCAGGAGGGAGCGTGGAGTGTGGGATGCTGGGGGCCTGGGCATGTGAGGGAGAGTGGAAATCAGTGTCACCTGGGGTACAGCTCACCCTGGAAATGTCCACGGTCAGACCCCTCAGAAGAGGTCCCCTGCACTCTCAGTTCACATGTATTCCATTCCACATGTATTCCATCTTCTGTTCTGGATCCGGGACCTTACTCTGGGTCCTGGATCCCGTGGTGTGTGATCTGTATCCCCTACGATATATCCTGGCATGAGCAGAGAGCAGGCTGGCGTGGGATGCAGCTTGAACGCACACAGAGCCCCTAGCCAGAGGGCAAGCGCCAAGATGACCCTGCCAGGGTCAGGCAGGGCTGCTGTCCCACTGCTCAGTGGATCTGGCCGAGGGGAGAATGGGGTTGGAAACCTACTTCTTACTTTCCCCAGTGCCCACCAATCCAGACGTAGGCTGAGTCCCCCGAAAGGGGCATTTGTTTCCATCATTGCTCCTGTGGGGGGTCGCTCTTGTATCCTCTCCAAGCGGCTGTACAGACAAGTGGAAGGGTTCAAATCCCAACCACTCCTAGTAACACTGGGCTTGCAGAAGGCATGGAAACTAACATCAGAACTGGGAAACCGGAACCCAACAGGATTGTCTGTCCCCTTCTCTGTGAGGGGGATGCCTGAGCCCGGAGGGGCCACAGGGTTTGTCTGAGGACTTACAGTAACTTTCTTATCAGATTTGGGACTAAATCCGTGTCCTGGGGCGCAGCTAAGTATTCTAGCTGACAGCTGCTCCCTTCCCTTGGACTGCCCTGACCCAGGTATATGACTGTGATCCCTCTAAGTATTCTCTATTCTCCTTGAGCTGGAGCTATGCCAATTCCGTTCTCCCTGAGTGGACCTTCCTGAGGGCAGGGCCAGGCTCTCTGTCTTCTTTACCCCCACCCAATCTGCCACCCAAATGTAGTGTCAGTGCCTACGAAATCAACTTCACCTTGAGGTCTCCACAATGAACTTCTCTCTCGCTGCCTGCCTGACTTCAGAAAGAGTGGAAGCCATGGGGCCACCCTTAGGGGTGGGCTTCTCCCAGCAGAGCTCCTGAAATGCCTTCTCCATCTTAAGGAAGGAGGTTGGGGTTCTCTTTAATAGCTTTTCCCTACCCTAAGGTGCTCACTGCCTCAGCTTCCTGCCACCCGCCAGCCATCCAGGCGGGCAGCAGCTAAAAAACATGGATTTTAATTCAATTTTCTGAGACGTGGCTGAGGGAGATGAATGCCAGGCTGCCCTACCCAGCATTCATCTCTCCTGAGCAGCAGATCTCTCCCTGCCTCCTGCCCCTCATCCTGCCCCACCCACCCCAGCCCTTATTGTTCCCAGATAAGAACATGAGAGGGAACCTGCAATGCTTTTGTTATGGATGACTGACATTTGCAGAATGCTTTCCTTGTCTTGGGCCAGTGATTCTCAACCTTCTGGTGTTATAGAATCCTCAGGGAGCTTTTAAAATATACCCTTGCCTGGGCCTTACCTGAGATCCTTAGACAATGGGTCGGTAATAAGACCAAGGCTAAGTATTTCCTTTTAGGCTCCTCAGGGGATTGTGGAGCCAAGGTTCAGAACTGTTATCTCAGGGCCAACACCAGATGATGACATGAGCCCCCCAAGGTGGCATGCCACACCTCCAGAGCGTAAGAAGCACGCTGAGATACTGGCCCCTGGGTGGCTGTGAGCAGCCTGCTTCTTTTTCCCCAGGAGCAGTGTAAATGTTTTTCTTTTCTACTTGCTCCAGGACATGAACAGGTGGGAATTAACTGCCCTGCATGCATATGTCCATTTAATTCAACTTTGGGGAATATCATGGGCTTTGAATGGCAAATTGTGGGATTGCTCTCTATGAAGGAGCAAAATACAAACCCCAGCTCAATCTCCTGGAATTCAGAAGCTTAAACTGTGCCCCTCTGGGAAAAGTTTGATTCACAAAGTTCTATGGTCACTTTCTGCATCTGCACCGGGATGCAATGACAAATGAGGCTCTAAGGAGCCCCTGGTGCATCAGGCAGTGCCTACTCAAGGCCTAAATGCACAGCTCCCTAGAAGTATGTAAGCTATGCCCTTGGCCCTTGGGAGTTCCCTCACCCCTGAGATCCCTGGGAGAGCTCTGTTCCAAGGACAGGCACTGGAGGTCAAGGCCGCTCTTATCCTTCCCCTCCCACCCCTCCAGAAGTAGCTTTCTCATCACATGAACCAGTGCCGTCTCCAGCCCCATGCACCCCAGGGACCCTAGTCCTCAGATCCTTGGCATTCTCTGAGAAACCAAGCAATGAGTGTTCGACCGCCAAGACCCATGGTTTTCAAATTCTTTCCAGGGGCACTAGCAATCTTTGAAGCTGCCTTGCCAGAAACCTAAGAGGAAGGGAGACCCTCTTCAGAACTGACTGGGAGATCCCCAGAGCTGAGGGGTCCTGTGTCCTTTCTGTCTGGGGGCGGCCACATGTCAGTTTCCAGACTGATCATGCTCTGCCTTCTCCCCTGAGTGATAATCCCTCTTAGGAAGTAGAAGGGAACACTTTAGGGGGTTGGAATGTGCTATGTAACAGAGTCATCTCTTGAAGCCAGAGTAAAAGTGAAAGCCCAGTGTCCAGTGTCTCCATCCCCCAGGTACGTGAACACGCAAAGGCAGCCTCTGTGTGGATCAGCATGTGCCCAAGCACACCCAATGCTGGATGTGCCCAGAGGTGCGCGCACACATGTTCCGAGCGGGCACACACCCTCACCCCTCACAGATCTGCAGTATGAAATTGCATCTTCTCCACCAAGACAGAGCTGTTTCCTCTCCTGCAGCATTGCATGCCTGCAGCAGGCTCTCTGCAGGCACAGAACTTCATTAATGTCAGGCAGTTCTCATCAGACAGTGACATTTCCCATTCACCTTCCGTAGTCCCCTCCCCGGGAACTCAGCTGTTTACCCAGGGGAACTGAACTCCCTGCAAGGGCCTCTGGGTGAAGGAGAATGCACTGCTTCTATTCTCATCCGCAACTCTCCTCTAGCCACAGGGTTTTCTTTTCCGTGCACACCTGCCGTCTTGTGCCCCGTGCTGGGCACACTTGAGTTGGCATGCTGCGTCCTTCTTCTGGACTTCCTGCAAA